AGTGGGACACCACTTGGGTCTGGGTATGACTGGCTGACGACGGCTAATAAGCTAGCAATGACCATTCCAGTCTCCCTTGTTATTCTGCCTATTTCAAGGTTTACACAAGGACAAATTTCAAAATGTGCAGTTTGAATATTGTATTTTTCATCCTACCGACAACGAGGAACATTTTTTGGAGGCAGTGTTTTTTGTTCGTGGCGAAATAATACAGTCTGTGCGCTGGATCCGAAATGCCTAATTTCTGTATTTGGGAATCAAAAAGTCGCATGTATAGCCGCCTAAGCAAGACTCGGGAGCAGGGACCGCCCACATTCCGGGGAAATTTGGTTTAGGATTAAGGCGCAGATTAGGGTTAAGTTTAGGATTAGGTTAACGATTGGGATCTAGGTCCGGGTTAGAGTTAGGTTCAGGATTGTGTTAAGGTTTGGGTTCGTGCGAACTGTGCGGTTTAGGTTTAGGGTAGGGCTAGGCTTAAGATTAAGGCCACAATGCAGCTTCATGATAGGGGCAGTGTTGGGGTTCAGATATGGGAATATTTACCCATACTGAAACTTGTCACAAAGCTGCCTGTTTTAAATGGACAGGGATTTCTTATTTCTGTATCCTGTTTAAGCAGCCATACAAGTCAACATTGCCCTTCCTGTTATAACGGAAGACCGATAAGTCTTACAATCTTAACTCGGCTTCAGTTGGTGTCTTAAAGCCTAACGTTACACCACTGAGTCGTCAACTCACCTTTCTTTGTCCGCTCTCCCGAGTCTTTAACGTTGCAATTGAATGATATACTCGGGTGGTACATCTGCTGAACTCGAACCTAAATCCCAGTCTGTAGTTTGGGTACGCTTGACCCGAGGTAGAAATTAAACCACAATTAGTCATTCCTACTTACTCCATCGTCTATAAACCCCTGAATCAGTGGCCTCCTTTATGGGCTCTTATCACACGGTTCAGGGAACATTATATGTAGGCAACATGTTGCAGTATTTGCGTTTCCGTATACCAAACGACGTCGGTCCCAGAAACAGTGGTCTGGAAATTTCGATCCGGGTTTTAAACATTGTTGTACAACATTCGAAACAAGTCTGTTCGTGCCATGGACCCTCCTAGGCATGCCAAAAATGGGGGGAGGTTGGCTTGGAACTTATTCATCCTGTTTAAACTTGTGTTAGGGTCTACTTCATCAGACCCATCATCCCTTTCCGGCTAACCGGGTCTCTTCTTTTAATGCTCCTATTCCCTTCGTCCCGCCCCTAAAGGATTCGAGTCCACGAGACGGCTGTGAATTGCTTTAAACTCCGAGAGGCCATCCCCAGTGACTGGTCTGGTGACGAGTTCTACGAGGGCACTGTCATCAGTGGAGACGCTCGCAGTCTTGCTTATCGCGCCCCCGAGGCCATTGTGCGTTGGCACACCGCTGACTCCAAGTCGGCCGCTGGGAGGACCCATATTGACGAAGAGGTCGACTTTCTACCCTTCTTCCTCAACGAAACAGCCAAGCACAATGCCATTTGGTTGGCCGGTCTTCGGCGTCGTACCAAGGTGGACCTCCTTGTTGAGGAAATGATTCCTATAAGAGCAAAGTTCCATATGATGGAAACGGAGTAGGTTTAAATTCACTTTACTCTTCTTCCTCTGCTTCTTCCTATCTCTCCTATTTTTTTCTTCTATGACTCCTCCTCCTCCTTCACC